CTAACAGGCAGAAAACAGAGAATTGAAATAAATGGGTTATTCTTCCATTGGCAGACTGTGACTGGAATACCACAGGGATCAGTAGTTGGACCAATTGTTTACAATATATATCATATCATTTGGAGGTGGGGACCAAATTTAAATTTTTGCAGATGATAGAGCTAAGCAGGAATGGGTGTTGTGAAAAAGATGTGCAACATTTTCAGGAGGATTTGGACAAAAGCATGACAGGTGGATGATAAGGTGGAAAGGTGTGAGGTTAGGAAGAACAGATGTATAGAGTATTTCTTAAATGGTAAGAGGTTAGAAAGTGTAGATGTCAAAAGTCATCGAGGTGTCCTTGACATAAGCCATTGAAGACTACCGTGCAGGTAGAGCAAACCATTAGGAAGACAAATGGATGTTCATCTTTGTTGCAAGAGCTTCTCAGTATTGGAAGTCATAAAGTCTTGCTACAGTTGTATAGGAGCTTGAGTAGATCGCATCTGAACTGATGTATGCAGGAAATATATTATTGCCTTCAAAGGGAGTGCGATGAAGCTTGACCGGTCTTGTTCCCGCTGATGGTGGGATTATCCTGTGCAGAGGGATTGAGTATACCGGGCCTGTATGCTCTAGAGTTTTGAAGAATGAGAGGTGATCTCAATGAAATTTAGACGATACTTACAGGGATAGACAGGATAGATGCAGGTAAGATGTTTCTCCTCATGGTGCCTAGAACTAGGGAGCACAGTTTAAAAATAAAGAAGATGCCATGTAGGACTGAGATGAAATTTTTTTGTCATTCAGAGGGCAATGAATTGTTGGAATTCTGTACCCTGGAAACTCAGACTGTGAATATATTTAAAGTAGAGGAGATGCTTTACGCAAAGGAGGTGATGGCCTAGTGGTATTTTTTGCTGGACTGTTAATGCAGACACCCAGGTAATATTCTGGGGACCCAGGTTTGAACTCTGCCATGGCAGATGGTGGAATAAAAATCTGGAATTAAGAATCTGGTGATGACCCTTGTCCATTTTCAGAAAAGTCCATCCTGGTTCTGTAATGCCCTTTATGGAAGGAAATTGCCATCCTTACCTAGTCTGGCCCACGTGTCTCCAGACCCACAGCAATGTGGCTGACACTTAACTACCTTATGGGCAGTTGGGGAAAGGAAAAAAAAGTGCTGGCCAAGCTAGCGATGCTCTCATTCCATAAATAAATAATAAAAAAGTAGAGTTTGCTTAAATTTTTGATTTTTCAATGATGCACAGAGTTATGGGATAACGTGGGTAAAAGGCATTGCGGTGTTTGATCAGCCATGATCGTATTACATGGTGAGGTATGAGTAGAAGCAAAAAAACTGTTTTCTGTAATCTCCTGCAACTGAATGGCTAATCAAGTAAATGGCATAAGTATGTTACAATTTAGGTATCAGTGCAAACTTTGCACCCTAGCTATAATGGCAACTCCCACTCATAATTTAGAGGAATATAAACTCTTCAATTATTGCACCTATGTACATTTATGGGTAATGTCTAATTTCCCTTGATTAGATGTTGCAAAAAATAAGGTGAATTATTTTGTTGGATATATCTGAATATTTAAATAGTAACTTGCTGCTAATTGTGAGTGAAATAGAAAGATTGAAAAAACAATAACTTGTTCAGTTATGTGATCCACAATTCCGCATAATTTCAATGATGTATTGAGATTAAATCTTGTTTGAGCTACTTTGGTCCAAGATTTGAACATGTTGGATGATACTTTAAGAACTAATATGCTTAGATTCCTTTATCAATGACACAAGAATTGATATCATTTTAAAATCAACTGGATTTTTCAGACTCAGGAACCCACTGCAGGAGCTGAAGTGGGTTCCTTTTGTGCCTCTAAGCTGGACAGACCTGGCTTCAAGTCCCAATTCAGTGCTGTTGACCACTGAAAAGACCAGTTTGTGTCAGTGCTGCTCCCTAACCTGGATAAATAAGGATAGTTCATGGCTGGAAGGGAATTTGGCTGTAAAACCATCGGCCAAGTCCAAAAACGATGGTTTACATGAGGAATGAGCACCCAGCATTGTGGTGACCTGGTGCAACATGGGAAAACCTGAAAGAGGAAGGAAGGAAGGAATGGTAAATGTTTCTGCCAAGGGTTATACAGTCCTAGAGTTCTACAGCATAGAAACAGACCCTTCGGTTGTAAAGGTGTTGGAAAGAAAGCGAGAACTTTGCTTTTTATTTAACACATTAACAACCTCAAGATTTCCCAAAACTAGAACCAGTTGGAGTATCCTTGAATTGTATTTGCTGAGAAATTATAAGTTGTCTAGCAAGATTCTACAAAGAGCAGTGAGATTAATGATGAGATAACCTGTTTCGGTGATGTTCAAGGATCAGTGTTGACCAGGAAATTAGCAGATGTCAGCTGGTTATCTTTAAATAGTGCCTCATGATCTTTTCTGTGTATCTGGAACAGCAGACATCAGACCCAAAACAGCACCTTTAACAGTTAAGCAGACCCTCACAATATCAGCATTGTTTGTTTGTGCCTGAAGTTAAGATTGAATTCCTGACTGAGGAACTTGGGGATGACAATACTTTGGTAGAATTGGCACCAAAGCTAATTCAAAAATGAAAGTGCCAAGGCTTGGAGAATAGACTACAATCATTAATTCATACTACATTGACTGATTCTAGAGCATCTGGTTTGCTGTGTAGGGCAGTCATTTGAGACCATAACAAAGAAGTAATTGATAATTCAATCTCAAAATCTTGTCTTCTTACATGGACTATTGAGAGAGCTAAAATTATCAAGTGTAGTAAAACCACTGCTGCTGTGTTGTCTTGTTGATTGATTTAGCAGAGTGACATGTGGCAAGAATTGGAAGTTTCCTTTCATAAAAATGTAGTTCTTTGCTGTAATCCCCATCAGGCATAAAAATGTTTTATTATTTGTAAATTAAATATTGAAAACAAGGATGAGCATTTTAAAATTGAAGAGTTGCATAGCTGAGAGGAATTAAAGTCAGTGAGTGCAGAGCCAGACTGTTTGCAACTTTGGGTGACTTCTAAAACTTTTTACTGTATTTTTCATGTAAAAATACATGTGACCATAAATTTCAATTATATTTTGTATTCTATATCCTATTCTACATTCTATTATCATCTAATACATTAAAATCTATTCTACCATCCTTTACTATTCTATAATTGATTCAATTCTATTCGAGCCAGAGATGAGATTTTTAACTTGAGTGAAGTGTCATTATGAAGCCTGCCTCTTTAACATTGTCCAACTTCACTCATTTTGATTACAGAACTTCACAAAGATGTAGACAAGTTGGTGGAATGGGCCAATGAATGTCAATGCTGAGAAGTGTAAGGTGATATACTTTGGTTAGAAGAATATGGAAAAACAATATAAGAGAAAAGGGTGTAAAGTGGGTGCTAGTGCAGAGGGACCTGGCTGTATGTATCATAAATCATTCAAGATGAGTGGACAGGTTGAGAGCGTAGTTAATAAAGCATACGGTATCTTAAGCTTTATTAATAAAGGCAACAGATTAAAAGGCAAGGATGTTATGTCCAATTTATCATTTGGCCTCATATGTGTCCAGTTCTGCATGCTGCTCCTTAGGATGGATGTGAAAGCATTGGTGAGGATGCAGAAGTTGTTTATGGACCTGGTTCCAGGAATGAGTAGCTGGGATTGTTCTCTTGGACAGAAGAAGAAAGAGGAGATCTGATTGTGCAATTCAAAATCATGAAAGAGCTGGTCAGAGTAAATCAGAAGAGAATGCCTCTACTTGTGAAAAAAAATTGAGGATGGGAAGGCACTGGTTTAAAAGTAATTTGTAAAGAAGCAAACATGCTTTGAGGAAAAGGTTATCACTCATCAATGGTTAGGGTCTAGAATGCAGAACCTGAGAAAATGGTGGTGGTAGGTTCAATTGAAACATTCAAAAGAGATTTTGTTGGTCATTTGAAAAGGAGGAATATGCAGGATAATGGAGAGAAGGCAGTTGAGTGAGAAACCTCTTGGAGACCAAGCCCAGAACTGAGGGGCTGAAAAAGCCTCCATCTCCACTGTTATAATTCTGTTCCTTAAGTCTTTGTATTCCAGGCTTGAATATTCTCTCAGAACTCTGGCCACCCTTCCATCCTGTGTAAAGTGGACCTCTTTCAAATTTCTAATACCAGTAAGCTTACTTGCGTTAGGTTCCATTTATCCATAATCCCTGCACTTAGTGAACTATATTGGCCACTGGTGAAGCAAGGTCTCGATTTTAAATTTCTCATCTTTGTTTCCAAGTAGCTCCATGGCCTTGCCCCCTCCTAACTCTTTAACCTTCTCCAGTTCCATAACCCTCCGATATCAAGCTTGCTTCAACTTTAGCCTCTTCCATTTTCTTGAGGTCCCTATCTTAATGACTGCTCTGTTGATAGCTCAGCAATTGAGGCCCTGAACTCTGAATCTGCTCCCTATATTTATTTACCTTTTTACCCCTCTTTCCTCATCTACAACATATTATAGCTAGCTCTTGAACCAATCCATTGACTATATGTCACAAGAGGGGCTCAGAGTCCAACATTGTTCAATAATGTTCTCAAAAAGTGCCATAAGGGATCTCACATTTCATACAGAGACATTTCTTCTTCCAACTAGGGGCCATAGGTTTACAGTGAGAGGGGAAAGATTTAAAAGGGACCTAAGGGCCAACATTTTCATGCAGAGAGTGGTGTGTGTACAAAATGAGCTAGCAGAGGAAGTGGTGGAGACTGGTACATTTACAACATTTAAAAGGCATCTGGATAGGTATATGAATAGGAAGGGTTTTGAGGGATATGGGCCAAATGCTGGCAAATGGGGCTAGATTTATGTAGGATATCTGGTCAACATGAACAAGTTGGACCGAAGGGTCTATTTCGGTCCTGCATATCTCGATGACTCTATCTAGTAATTTGCAAGGCCCATCAACAGAGTTCACAATATTAACAGTTTCTCATTCTGTTTTGTAGACCTTATTTGGAAAATGCACTAAAGGCAGAGAACAATGTCAGAAGATTTTAAGAGGAGATTTGAGTTCCAAAATATAACAATCCAGTCGCAGGTATGATACTTCTCTATTTTAGAAATTATTCCATTTGAATAAAACTAATTTCTGAGGTGTTCACCTAAAAATTGAAAGTGTTTTTTTTGTATAGGCTGTGGGACAACTGGTTGCTGCTGTATTAAAGGAAAAGGGGTCATCGTCTCCGATAAGTTATTCTTCAGATCAGGTTTGTGTTTAACACTGCTCTTAAGGTGGTCCAGGGCAATTTAGAGTAATCATAGTCATGTCTGAAAACCCTTAATTCTTTCATTTACAAGTAACAAAACTTTTTTTTTTTGAGGCCTAATTGCTATTACATTGTCTTTGTATGCCTTCAGGTCTGGTAACCCTGCTGTGGATTTAGAAAGATGATTTCACCTTCATTGATAGTTAGCCTGTATGATAGTAATCATTGTTTAGTGAACTCTACATGCCTTCAGTAGAGTTGGTGCCATATTTAGTTTGGAAACCCATGCAAGCTATCTTTTGTAATGTGTTCAAATGCACATGCTTTGTTCATGTTGACAGGTGTTAGTAAAGTTAAAGAAATGAATATACATGAAAATTGAAATTAATGTGGTGCAGCAGTGTTGCTGTTTGAAATTGGATATGGTAGAATTTTCTCGGGCCTACACTTTGATGCATCATTCTCCTGTGTTGTTAGACTGTGATTCAGACCCTAAATTCCACCTGCTGTGCTGCCCTGAGTTACCAGACAACTTGCTTGACTTCTGGACTTGAATGATCTTCCACTTGCTGCCATTAAACTTTGCTAAATTCTTGGCTCAAGCCTTTGTTGATCTACACTGACTTCTGGTATCCTGTTGTCTCCAATATATCACCCTTATCTGGATTTTTAAATCCCTTTGTTGCCTTTTGCTTCTGTATCACCATACCCTTCAGCAGCCCTACAATCAACTGAGAATTCACAACTGCTTCTAAATGTCAATGTTTGTGACCATGTCATATGTCATCTAGGCCTCAAACACAGAAAATTCTTTCACCATTCTCTTGGTTAAGTTCTAACTCTAAGATTTTACTCCTCCTCCTGACAGCTCTTCCTTTGGCTCAATTTTCATTTTTTTCTGATTTTGCTTCTGGGAAGCAACTTTACTTTCTTAAAATGTCATGTCAATGTAATTTGTTGAATATTTGTTTTCCCGTGTCAATGTAACTCCTCTAAGTAGCCGTCTGCAACGATCCTGAACTAAATTGTATCAGTTGCCAGAAATGCACATTATAAAAGCAACAGAAAGTTGTAAGTATTATTGAGAAATTAAAGTAGTTAAGTTTAGTGATTGAAATTTAGACCGTGCAAGTAGAGGGATAAAGGACAGAGAGGGTTAGAATTGCGTAGTGTGTTTCCAGGCAATCTTTCCACTGTCGTATGTTTCCAGCCCAATGAAAAGGAGACATTATGGGACGTGAATACTGCACAAGAGGTGGGCCAAGTGGATTAAGTGATAGTTGGAGAACATTTACCGGAGATTGATTATTGTGTCATAAGCTCTAGGTTACATGGAAAAGGACACTGAGCGATCCAGAGGTAGACCACTGTGATTAACTGGGGTATGAGAGTGTCTGATCCAGATGAATTGGAGTCAGAATTTGGCATGAAGCATGGTAACTGAACAGTGGGCTACCTGATAGAAGTGTGTGTTCAGGCACTGCCAAGATATTTTCGCACAAATGGGAAAGGTAGGGAAAACAAGTGGAGAGCTTGCTGGATGACAGAAGAAATAGGGCTTAAAGTCAAGAAGAGAAGATTTTTTTTTTCCTCATGAAAGATTTGAGGTGGATAGTACATTTGAAAGCCATGCTGAATATAGAAGATTCAGATGGAAAGTAACAAAAGCAGATAAGGGAGGCGAAGAGACTATGAAAAGAGACTGCCTTTTCTGTTTGCTGACAATCTGAAAGACTTCAATGGAAACAAAAAATGAAAGGTGTAACTCTAAAGAGACTATAAGAGCAGGAAGACCTCTTTGTGTGAGTCATTGAAAGTGGGAGACAATTTGAGAAATTGCTTTGTAAAGCACTTGGAGTCATAGGGGTTTACAGCATAGAAACAGGCCCTTTGGCCCAACTTGTCCATGTTGCCCAGTTTTTACAATTAATCTAGTCTCATTTCCCTGTGTTTAGTCCGTATCCATTCCATCCCTGTACCTGTCCAAATGTATCTTAAATGATGAAATTGATTATCCTTGGCTTTATCAAGAGCTTCAAAGAGAACCAAAGCATGGGGGTTACGTTAAACTGGTACGAAACGCTGGCTCAGCCTCAAATAGAGTCCCATGTCCAGTTCTGCTGTCACACGAGGTAAAGTCAGAAGTCACGTGACACCAGGTTATAGTGCTACGGATATATGTGAAGTCAAAAGCTCTCGGAGCACTGCTTCTTCATCAGGGGTTATCGGGTGATGTCATTCCGAAAGCTTGTGATTTTAAATAAACCTGTTGGACTATAACCTGGTGTCGTGTGACTTCTGATTTTATCCACCCCAGTCCAACGCTGGCATTTCCACAACACAATGTAAAATGCAAAGGCGTTAGTGCATCAAAGAATGGCTGCATAGGTGTGGAAATGTCATTTCATAGTTTGGAAAAGTTGGGACTGTCTTGCTTGGAGAAGAGAAGGTTGGAAGATTAGGTCCTCTTTTGTTTGTCTTATTTATATAAATGATTTGGATGAGAATATAGGAGACATGGTTAGTAAGTTTGTGGATTACACCAAAATTGGTGGTATAGTAGTCAGCGAAGAAATGGGTCAATGGGCTGAAAAGTGGCGGATGGAGTTGAATCTGGATAAATGCAAGATATTGCATTTTGGTACGACAAACAAGGGCAGGGCCTATACTAATAATGGTAGGGCCTTGGGTAGTTTTGTAGAGCAGAGGGAGTTGGGGTGTATAATTCTTTGAAGTTTGCGTCACATATAGTTAGGGTGGTTAAAAAGATGTTTGGCGCGCTTGGCCTTCATTGCTCAGTCCTTTGAATATAGGAGTTGGGAAGTCATGTTGCAGTTATACAGGATATTGGTGAGGCCTCATCTGGAATACTGTGTCTCGTTCTGGTCACCCAGTTATAGGAAGGATATTATCAAGCCAGAGAAAGTTTAGGAGAGATTAACCAGGATGTTGCTGGGTTCGGAAGGTTTGAGTTATAAAGAAAGGCAGGATAGGCTGGGACCTTTTTCAGTGGAGCGTAGGAGGTTGAGAGGCGACCTTATAGAAGTTTGTAAAAAATGTGAAATATTGATAGAGTTAATGGTAGTTGTCTTTTCCTTAGGATGGGGGATTTCAAAATTAGGGGGCACATTTTTAAGGTGAGAGGAGAGAGACTTAAAAAAGGCATGGGCAAATTTTTTACACAGAGGGTGGTACGTGTGTGGAATGAAGTTCCTAAGGAAGTGGCGGATACAGGTACAGTTACAATGTTTAAAAGACATTTGGCCAAGCACATGAATAGGAAAGGTTTAGAGGGATACGAGCCAGGAGCAGGCAGGTGAGACTAGTTCAGCTTGGGATTATGTTCAGTATGGACTGGCTGGACTCGAGGGTCTGTTTCTGGGCTGTATGACTCTATGACTCTATTTGACAGAGATGGTCTGGACAAGGTAGACAGCGACAAGGCATTCTCTCAACCACCAAACTGGCAAGGATGTTGAAGGAGGCAATCAGGGAATTCCTTTGCAACCTCTTTTAACTTGCAATATGGGAAGGCACCTGTTGTAAATTATTGGGGAAATCCTCAAAATCCTGGGCTGGGCCCATGTGGCGAAGTGGTAGACTTTCTGCCTCTGGGCTAGGGAGGCTTGGGCTCAAGTACTACCGGCTCCAGAAGTGTGTCGGAACATCTCTTAAATAGGTTGGTTAGCAAATATCTATTCAAAATCCTGGAATAAACTGCACTACTCCAGGCTCTGCCCCATTTCCCTCTAACACTTTATTGGCGATTGGTGGAAGCAAGTTCAGAAAAAGTCAGCTTCACAAATATTGCATAAAATTATTTGTTTCTTTCATCTTACTGAAGAATGCCGGAGATTCTGAATATTACATGAACGTGCAGACGGTTTCTGAGCATTCTTTGCAGTCCTGGCTGAGTTTATATTTATGTTTTTACTTTACACGTGGCTGTTAATGTTAATGAAATGAGCAAGATGAATTAAACATTAAGGGCAGTCTCAGCTTCCTTGACTAGTTGATGAAAATGATTAGCTAGTATGCTGAAGTGATAAGCTAGGCATTTTAATTGACCATTGTGATGCAATTCTTATCATCATTTCTTTTTCCCCCCAGAGCCCTGCGTTGAACCTGTTGTGGGAGAAGTGTTGCAGTGATAATGTGGTGGTACGGTCTGCCTGTTCTGAAGTATTGGTTGCACTTGTTGCACAGAACCACGCCGATTTTAATTATGTGCTCAATGGAATTTTGAATCTAATTCCTTCTGCCAGGTACCTGAAATCATTAAATGAGTTCTTCGGCAGACGGGCCCACTTCAGTTACTTTCATGGATAATATCCATTGTCAGAGCATTGCACTTGACTGTAAAAATTTATAATCCACATTCATCGCTGATGAGAGTTGAGAAAGGTCCTTCATCTATTTTTTTTTTAGAAAAAGGCTTTGAATAAAGAAACTAAAATGTACGCACTTCATCCAACTCCATCAGTTTTGAGTTGGGAGAGAGTTCTGTGAACTTTGGAGAACTGACACTTTGAAATCTTGTCTTGAGGTGATTTGTATGCTATTTTATGTTACGCTTGTTAATCAGGAGAAACATACGTTATGATTGGCTTAGTTATTGAAGGGCAAACTTTTTAAATAGTGCACATGGCTCACCGATTGGCTGGATGCTATACGTTTTGCGACCATGACTTTGACAATACAAAGTAACAGTTATGCACACTGACTACACGGGAAATTCCGTGCTCTCTTCTATATTTGTGCAAGAGTGTACCAAGAATTGAGCCTCTTGGTTTCTTTTTGAGAAGGGAGTGAAAATAATTTGTGAGGTAAAACTCAACGCATTTTTGAAAATACAGAACAGCCGCCCGATCGGACTCACCAGTGTGAAAAATGTAATGACCAAAGTGTCAAATTCAGTTTGTACTGAATTCAGACCTGCACTGGAGTAATGTCAGATTTACAAAGGCAGCCGCAATATTGATTGTGCTCTGTACCTTGATCTGGGAATGTGCTTCCAGTCACAATGTCAAAACATCATCCCTTACTGCACCAATGCGACAATTCTTTCATTTCTTACACTGGTGATCCCTTGCCTTGTCCAAATGAGATTGTTGATTGCAGCCCAATTAGGGATTGTTTTATGTTTTAGGCCCATTTCCATCACCAACTGTTAGGACACAGCTCACTTCAGAGATGAACCTTATAAACTGCAGAGAGACTCCTGCCTCTCTGGGTTGAACTGGAACCTAGATGCTGGGAGTGAATAACTGAAATATAATAACTGCTAGGAGGAGCACACTTTCACCATCTAGGTGTAAATATGATAGAGAACTTGTGTTGATGGACATCCCAAGCTTTTATGTTTCAGGTTTTACCATAATTCTTGGAGTAGCATCATGAACTATGCTTACTCCATCAGAAAATTGTGAGGTATATTTTCCAATCAAGTTTTGGTCAAATTTAGTCCCTTTCCATTCAAAATATGATTTATTTATTGTTTTTAATGTAGAATTATTCTTTGCTTTTGGATTCTGATCCTGAATTTATTTGGAATTATTGTAATGAATAAGATAAAAGTTGGTGACCTATACTATTAACTGTTTGATTTATCTAAAGGCAGTGTCAAAACTTTCTTGAAGATTACCTAGAGAATTCCATGTCAAACTGTTTTTTTGATCATTTTTATTATAGCAAGAAACCGCTGTGAATATTAGAAGCAATATTATTGTACTTTCTAAAAGCAGTGAAAAATCCAGATTCATTGGCTTATCATAGAATCCCTAGATTATGGAAGCAGACCATTTTGTCTATTGAATCCACACCAGCCCTCTGAAGAGCATCCCATCCAGACCCACCCCTCTACCCTGTAACCCTGCATTTCCCATGGCTAATTCACCGAGCCTGCTCGTTCCTCGACACTTTGGGCAATTTAGCATGGCCAGTGCACCTAACCCCCACGTCTTTGGACTGTGGGAGGAAACCGGAGCGCCCAGAGGAAACCCATGCAGACACAGGGAGAATGTGCAAACTCCAGTTGCCTGAGGGCGCAATTGAACCTGATTCCTTGACGCTGTGAGGCAGCAGTGCTAACCACTGAGCCACCGTGCACTGGAAAAGTATTGTTGTAATCAGAAAGAGCCATCTGATTTTTATATCTTCTCGGAACTTGCAGTAGCCCTGCAAATTAGTTGAATGATGCTGCGTCTTTCCCTAAAGCTGGCATGTTTAAAGCAGGCTTCCTCAGATTGGCTCATATTCTACAAAGGTCTGTTTTCGCCTTTTCGTACCTTCTAATTTGATAGTTCTCCTGTATGAAAATTAAGACTTTAAATTTTGCCACAGATACATTGGCATGTATGGAATAATATTCATTTTCATTTCCAGTAACGTCCAAGGCTTGATTCGAAGTATCAGTAAATTGCTACTGATGCAAGCACAAGGAACTGATCCAAGCCATAAAACAGTTTATTCGTGTCCGTATGCCATCAGGTAAATTTTGGATTGCAAAATACTTACTATTTGTTGTATCACAGTATTTCATTGCCATAGTGAGCTGTAATCCTTTTAAGATATGTCAGCTGTTACAAAATAATAAAATTGCCTAGGAAACGATTTCAGCATAAATCAATGTTTTTGCTGCCTGCTAAATTTTAATCTTGAATCAATCAAAAGATGCTGTCAATCCTTATTCACAAAGCACAAAACTGCCCAGAAACATAGTTTTTCTAAGTTCCAGCTTCACTGATGGAATGGGCACTGTATGTTTGCTCAGAAAATAAGTATGCTGTCACTCAGTGGGTTAATTTCAGTACTTCTAGTCATCTTTGGACAGATAAGAAGACCTTGGAAAGGGTGTTGAGGAGCCTGGAATAATACCAAGTTGGAGAGACTTCATTTTATCCAATGATTTGAGAAACTGGGATCGTTCTCTCCATAAGCAGAGAGAATTAATGGAAGTGTTGTAAATAATGAAGGTGAACATCATTATTAGGAGCAGGGGTAGGCCACTCGATACCTTGGGCCTGTTCCTCTATTCAAAAAGATGGTGACTGACCATTTGATGTTCCAAATTCCACATTGATAGGCAAGGCAATCAATCTACCTCCACTTTTAAAACATTCCCTGACCCTTCTGAGGCCGAAGGTTCCAAAGTTGCACAACCTATTAAGAGAAAAATATCCCCCTCATCTCTCTGTGTATAAAGGGTGACTCTTCTTCCCCTGGTTCTGGACGCGACCACAAAAGGAAAAATCTATTCCATGTCCACCCATCAAGAGCTTTCAGGATCTTGTACACTGTCATCAAGTAAGCCCACACTCTTCTAAACTCCAGTGAAAACAAGTTCAGCTTTTCCAATCTTTCCTGACTAGAGGTATCGATCTGTTAAATTCCCCCTGAACTGCCTCCAGTGCATTTTCCTCCTCCTTTTAAATAAGGAGACCAAAACTGCGAGCAGTCTCTGAGATGTGGTCTTGTACAACCAAAGGATAACATCCTTACTTTTGTGCTGAATTCTCTTATTCTAAGTGATAGCATGCTATGAGTTGGCTTGATTTCATGCTGTACAAGTGTAGTAAGGTGTTGTGATGCGCGCAGTAGAACATCTCGATTGCTCTTCAGCTCAGAATTTTGCAGTCATACGTTCATAGAGTGAGTCCAACCATTCCATGCCAAACATAATCCCAAACTAAACTAGTCCCACCTGCCTGCTCCTGGCCCAAATCCCTCCAAACTTTTCCTATTCATGTACTTATCCAAATGTCTTTTAAATGTTGTAACTGTGCCCACATCCACCACTTCCTCAGGAAGTTCAATTCACGTGTGAACTATCTTCTGTGTAAAAATTTTGTCACATGTCTTTTTTTAAGTCTCCCTCCTTTCACCTTAAAAATGTGCCCCCTAGTCTTGAAATCCCCCATTCTAGGGAAAAGACACCTACCATTAATTCTATCTAAGGCTTTCATTATTTTATAAATTTCTATAAGGTCATCTCTCAACCTCCCATGTCATTTACTGTTTAAGTTATACTCTGCTTTTTTAATTCTTCCTGCTAAGGTGAACAATTTCACATTTTTCCACATTGTACTCCATCAGCCACATTTATGCCCATTCACTCAACCTATCTCTACATGTTTGCAACCTCCTTTATGTCGTTTTCACAACACTTATTCATACTAATGTTGTGGCTGCATATTTGGCGACAATGTCTTTGTCACTACAGTCAAGACCCAATGATGTAGTCATCAGGGCCTATCAATCTGCACTTCATCAGTTTACTGCTTTCGTAGTGAGTATAATTGCACCAAGTTCCTCTGTTCCTTCGGCTTTCTGACTTTTGAGAGAGTAAATAAAGGAGAACTTTCCACTGACGGGCAGATCAGCACCAGATGACACTTGAGATAAATTGCAAAGTTTTGGTAAAAGGTATGAGAAGGACGGGTACAGAAAGACATGAGAGGTTGTTGTGAACAAGAACAAATTATGAGGAAGAATGGGAGAAGCAGATTCAGTAATGGCTTTCAAAATAGAATTGTGTCTGTAAAGCTGGAAATTAAGAATTTGTGGGGTATGGGAAAAGGACAGAGGAGTAGGACTCATTGGCACATCCTCTGTGTTGGTATAGGTGCAATGGGCTTTCTTTTTGTGTTGTTGCATTTTAAGATCTTTATAACATGCAATGTATAAATTATAATATTTGTAATGTCTGTACCTTTCAGTGTTGTTGATATTTTCTCGGGGAAGATCATTCAATTCCCCTGAAAATTTAAGATTTGACAAACCAGCCTTGGATCATAGGCAAATGACCAGACCACAAGCACTAAGGACATGATTATCCCCTGCCTGGAAGTGGTAAAAAAAGTGTGGCAAGCTGGCTGACACAGATACCCTCCCCTTCTTGGTACCTCAGCAATTACAGAAGGTCCATGGGTGACCAGCTTCATCCAGCATCAATGAATGCCCTTATGTTGCCAATTAATTGCCATTTAAGGGTCAGAATTCACCAACAGCTTGATTATGTACCTTTCTGGTGATAGTGGCTGGTTTCTGAGCAGGGTGGGTCTCCTTTGGTGCCAGTCAGGAGCAGGCCATACCTCTGCCCATGCCGTTGATGTCCCTGACCCTCACCCTGAAAGATCTGAAAGATAGGCACTTGCATTCTTACTGTATAAACCTCTTAAGTCTGTCGTGATCTTTAGGACCAGAAGCTTCCTGCTTACAACTGGGTGGCCATTCAAGTATTTTAGTATCAAGGCTCTGGATGTACAAGCAAGAGCAAATTCAACACCAAACCTCAGCCTAAAATTTGGGCTTGAGAGCAGTGAGCAGATTCTTTTACCTGATTATTCAGCTTTTTAAAATATGTGCCTGTTGAATTGGATTTTACTCATCTTTAATTGCTGCAGTGACCTCAGGGACATGTTTTTAAAGGAAAGAATTGTAACACCAAGCTATATTAAGGCATATCATTTTGGATGTAAGAGTTATCTTGTGCTTGGTATAAGGTTGAGTGTTGATAATTAATAAATTAAGTACATTCTTTATTAGAAATATTAATTAAAATAGTGCCATACACTTGGAGATTTGACCAAAGCTTTGGCGGTTGAGGGAACTTTGTTTTGTGCATCAGTAGCCATATTATAAATAATGCTTAAGCTCATTGATGGTTATTTATTGTGGGATCTGCAAAAATAAATCAAATTCAGTTTCCTATGAAGCTTTGGAAATCATAACCGGAGGTTAAGGTGAACCAGAGGTTAAGCACACCCTTCAACTTGCGTTTATTACATCATGATGGTGCTGTTCTGTGTCAGCACCCTGATATTATTAGTTTAGAGAATGTGACCCTGGATGATTTTTGGGAAAAAAAAAAAATTTGTGGAGTAACTTTCTGAATATTGCTGCATTAATTGCAAGGCAAAAATACCTTCCACCCCTTTGATCTCTTCTGGGAGTCAGAGACGAGAGGAAATAGGTTGAAGGTGAGAGGAGAAAGATATAAAAGGGGCCTAAGAGGCAACTTTTTCATGCAGAGGGTGGTGGGTGTATAGAATGAGCTGCCAGAGGAAGTGGTGGAGGCTGGTACACTTACAACATTTAAAAGGCGTCTGGATGAGCACATGAGTAGGAAGCATTTAGAGGGATATGGGCCAAATGCTGGCAATGGGATTAGATGTATTTAGGATATCCGGTCAGCACAGACGAGTTGGACCAAAGGGTCTGTACGACTCTATGACTCCATCTATGAATAGAGTTTGACCTGAAACAAAAACAAAAAATTGCTGGTGATGCTAAGCACGTCTGGCAGCATTTATGGAGGGAAAGCACAGTCACCATTTCAGGGCCAGAGACACGTCTTCAGACCTGAAATGTTGACTCTGCTTTTTTCCACAGATGCTCCCAGACCTGCTGCTGAGTTTTGTTTTGTTTTCTTTCAGATTTCCAGCATCCACAGTTTTTTTTTTTTGTTCAGAGTCTGATATTCCCTTGTTCTCTGCTGGTGCTAGTGTGGAGCTGGCCATGAAGGATGCTGGGATATCCAAAACTGTACCTGATGCATCCTTCATTCAGCTTTGCTCGGTTTCTCCAGCCGTTGAACGTTAAAATCCTAGACCGTGTGAATTGCAAGTGTGAATATCCATGTGTCTTTTCTGTTATAGCATCCTGCAGCCCATCTTTCTAAAATAAAATGCTTCAATTTTTCTTTTTAACCTAAGTATGCAGTGATTCATTACTGTGCAATTTTATCTGTGATATTTCCAGTTAGAATTGCCCACATCGACTTTTCCCGTTTTAAGGAATTGATGAAAGCAGATTGAAATGTTTTCTTATGCAAAGCAAAATATAAAAACTGTATCAGTTTGCCTGGGTTTCCACAAAGTAATCGTTTGTATTGGTGAACGACAATACAAAGTGTTTTCTGTGTAAAATCTGAGATTAAGCAATCCCTCAAGTTTGACAATTTAAAAGACCTATTCACAATAAGATCTTGCTGAAATAATTTGTTTTGGTTAAATTAACGGCCAGTGAAGCAGAGAAATTGAGGGTTTAAAATGTATTGCATTGTCCTAGACTGTTTAATGGCTGTGATGGATTATTAGAATGGATACATGATAACTAGATATGTGGAATTGTAACATATCTCTTATGCTGCAATCTGTTTTAATTAGCAGCATTGTTTTGTGTTTGACTAAAATTGACGGTCTAGCTACAATTAATGTGGCAAATGCAGGCTGGCTTCCTTGCTTACTTTTTGGAATGGTATATGTGTGCAAGGATGAAGGACAATATATTATTATTCTGAACATGTGTTTGCATCCAGTTTCACATACACTGAAGCAGTCAAGATATCTGAGTGGCCATGTAAGTGTGAGCTTTATTTTTGGGATGGTAACTTTAAATTTAGTGTAAATGGAAGACTTTGTATTCTACAGTCAAAAACCTTGATTAGTTGATTGTTGGTCATCAAAGGGAGTCTTATTTTTTTTAAA